TGATATCAGAAAACGTGACAAAGTCTTCTGCTATCAGAGTGGACACTTGGGAAAAGACAGCTGTAGGTAACTGTGACTAGTTGCAGGTTGGATGTTAGTTTTCCAAGAGTAGTTTAGGTATGGCACAAGGCCAAAGTTGTGGAGCAGTCATTGAGGTTCAAACTCACTAGACAATCTTAAAAAGTCTAGAAAGACAAGTTTGCAAACCATTACACCATGTAGAAGTAGCTTGATTGCATGTTGTATGTTCAGATATCAATATTGCAAAGGGAGAAACAAATCTGAGAGAAATAAAATGTATATTTGTGATGCGTTTCATCTGTTTGTACTTTATTGGACTGGATTTATTGTTGTTATGACTACACATGCGCATGATTATTATTTCATAAAAATTCTTTCGAAATATTGAAACTACCAGCATCTCTCATTTATGTGCATGTGTAGTCATAACAATGTCAACAAAGCCAGCCCAATGAGGTGCAAATGGATGAAATGCATCACAAGTAAACTTTTTCCATTTTGTCTTAAAATTCACTCTGTCTATATATAGCATGAAACAGCCTGTCGACTTCAATGTTCACTTTTATATTTATATTTGCATACATTCTATCTCTGATTTTGAGCACTTTATCCCATAAATATAGCACACCTTAAATATATATATATATATATATATATATATATATATATATATATATATATATGTGTGTGTGTGTGTGTGGAGGAAAGATGTATGAAAAAGTGGAAAAGTATTCATGTGATGCATTTTGTCCCTTAGGACTTCATTGGACTAAGTTTGTTTACATTGATGCGACTATGACAGAAATAAAAACAAAAAGAATCTAAATGAAACTGGCCATTGGATAAAAGCGTTGGTTGGATCCAGTGACTTCAGCCAAAGAGTTGAGTTTAATACCTAGCCACTGCAGTGATGAACAAAAACTTGGAGAGTTGAATTAGAGAGAGATAGTAGAGATATCCAGAAGAGGCATGGCATGTAAAACTAGAACAATCTACCCAGGTGGACAAAATAAAGGGTTAAATTTGTAATTCCAATCACCTGAAGAAGGCTAGAGCATACAATGGCTGAAACTTGAATATGTCAATAAAGATGAGGACAACAGTTCAAACAATGTAAATAATGTAAATAACTACAATACCATCTCAGAAATATAGACAGATAATAATAATAATAAGCCTCTCTATTCAGACTGTGTCAGTCAATAACCTTCTTAGAATTTTAAATCAAGCCCTTTATTCAATCCACAGGAGTAGACAGTTCTCATTCCACTGTCATTGATTAGGGGAGATAACTTTTACAAGTTAATTCTCTTCAGCTTATTTACTTTTATGCCGCTGATCTCTTTCTTTTACAGAATCAAAACATTTTTCTACACTACTTGACTGATGACTACTAAGAAACTAGATATTCTTTAGCCAGCATTTTAATCCAATAGATCATATGTTTTGTGATGTATTTATGGAGCCTTAAACCTAATGTCTATACTCAAGTAGTGAAATTTTGGAGTGGCCTTTATTTCTTAATCAGAGGTTACTAGATGATGTTCATGTCAATGTCAGATCTACTGAGGAGGTTATATCAAATTTGAAACCCCTTTTCAGCACCGTTTCTTTAGAGATAGATAAATGATGTTTATTTTTACAGGCTGATAGTAGACATTGTTGTATCTCATAATGTATCCTTTTTACTTCTGTAGTTTCTGTATTTCATGTGCCTTGACCTTTTCAAATTCCTACTTTCACAATTTGTTGAATTGTATTTCTATCCAATTCTGATATGATAAAATAAGTTTTATTGGCAACATTTAGTTTAATGAATAAATCAAAATTTTACTTATTTTATTAAATATATTATTTTATTACTGTAAATTAAGGTATACTAATTTAATTAAAATAATTTCTAATTTATGAGTGTAAATTAAGTAAATGCTTACTTTATTAAAAATATTATTTTCATTTATATATTTTTTAATATAAAAATGAAAATATTTTTTTCTATGACTTTTCCTACAACCCAGAATTAATGGAATATTATTGTTTGGTCATCATTAAAAGGTAAGGAGGAGATTTCCAAATATTTTCTTTTCAATCAATATTTTTGTAATCAATATTATCTGAAACAGATAATCAATAATGAATCATTTCTGTCTCACAATTTACTTTACAGAATATTTCTTAAATTTATACATTCAGAAAATTTCAATCATTTATTGATATCAATTTGTATAAATAATTAATTTTCTTTAAGTAAATATCTGGTATTTTATCTAAATATCATATCTGAACTTGGTATCCTCTCAAGATATATGTATATAATGTATCATACAACACACACACACACACACACATATTATATATTAACCATCTTTACTGCATCTTTGTAGTGATTACTTGTTTCTTCATATGTAACAACTTATTATAAATAACTATTATTCTACATTTGGTATTGAGCCGTCTTTTAAATTAATGTTATGAACGTTTGGATTTATATTCTTTTTGTTCTCATTACATTTGGATATATATTATATAATTATGTATTTGTGCAGCAATACTTCTTTTATACAAGTTTCATTGAAGATTGAATGAAGTGTGTGTGTGTGTGTGTGTGTGTGTGTGTGTATATATATATATATATATATATATATATATATATATCCTTAGATAAGAAAACCACTCAACTCATTAAAAACACAAAATGTCTTTCTTTTATTTAGCATGATATCAGTGATGTGAATGAAACTTATGGTGATTTTTTATTTTAACCCAAACAATAAGCTAGAAAAAGAATAGATAAAGTAAACTTTAACAGTTTTAAAAATAATAACAATAATAATAATGATGATGATGACAATAATGATGATGATGATTAAAAACTGAATATTCCAAAGTTATAATAGTTTTAGAAATGTCAGTGAAGAAAAATTTTTTTGAAAAATAACAATATGTTTCAATTTTTCTATTACATTATCCATGGACAAATTTTGTGTTTTCGATTTGTTATAAAAATTTCAAGGAGAAAAATCAATGTTTTCAATTTTAAAATGAGAACAAGCAAATTACACACCAATATCTTATATATATATATATATATATATATATATATATATATATAAGTTGCACATATGGATTAAATCTGACAGAATGTCATTAAAAAAACAATTATTCCACTTCCAATATTTCTGGTGAAGTTAAATAAATAGTGAAACATCTTAAATTTATAAAGAGGTTCCTACTTGTTACTTATTCAAGCAAACCGGTTTTATATATATATATATATATATATATATATATATATATATACAGGTAGTAATCCATTGGTATAATCCAGTTGAATCTTATTAACACAATGAAATTTTAAACATTAAATGTTAAAACTGACTCACCAAAAAGTACTCAATGTTTATTTTCTAAACAGAGCAAAATTCTGAATTATCTCCCTTCCATTTCTTATTGTTTTATAAAATTTATATAATTTAGATTCTTTGCATTAATATCTGAGGGTTTCTGTTGAACCAAACTTCAGTCGGATTACTACTATTAAATAAGTCAGCCCCTCATTCTTCCAAGTTCTTCTCCACTTCCCTTTTGACCACCAGGATACCATGTCTTACCTCCTGAGTCCCCATACTACCTTCCCTCTCTCCTCCCTTTTCCCCATTCACCACTGACCATCTCTCATATTACACTACTTTCACTCTCTCCTTACTACCTCCCCCCACCAGTTTTTTTCCTTTTCTTTCCTTCTTTTTGTCTTTCCCCTTCTAGCTATTTTTATTGCAGTAATCTACCACCATTGACAGTTTAAAGAATCCTGTAAATTTTAAATTTAAAATTCACTGGTGAAAATAATCATTAACTAATGTTGTCTTAATTCTAATTGTATGAGATTTATATATACATATAATATTATATACTTGTGTGTGTGCCTATTACACATACACAAGGTGATGCTCAAAAGTTTTGGGAAGTTGTAATTTAAACAATGTATGCAACTGAATGCTGTATGGATTTTTGCTACTACCCCTTATGAGTGAGTATAAACATAACAAGCAATGAATTACTTTGAAGGAGACAGTGGGAACTGCATGTTAGAGGGAATAAATTCTTTTAGTCATTCCCTGAATTTTTGAGTAGCACCTTATATATATATATATATATATATATATATATGCTAATCTATTACTTACAACACCTGTAAGTAACCGCACTACTGCGGTACATATGCTATAGTAAATATCCTTGATCATAGTATTGATCCAGAGAAAATACTTGATGCTCCATTGGCAGAAATACCATTTAGTAAAATACACAAAATATGCTACAAATAAAATGTATAATAAAACCAATACTAAAAGTTACATGCAAATATGCTATCATTAGGCATGAAACTACCAATTCCTTAGTAATAAACCTGGGTCAACTGAAAAGTACATATGATTTGGGAATCAATAGCTTAATTCCTGATGAAAGCATAATTGTGTGAGACTTATTAGTGGTTTTATAATACATTTCATTTTGTGTGTGTGTGTGTGTGTGTGCATCTATACAAGGAGGTGTTGAAAAGTTCTTTGTCTAATCCATTTCTCATAATCTGACCAATTGATCAAACATCAGAACTGTTTTATTTTTAGAATTCCTTCTTATTTGGGTTGAAACCTTTTCAGCCCCCACCCCACATGTATTCATAACTAAAGAAAATAAATTGTGTGATTTGCTTAATGCTAGGAAAGAGACTTGGGTTCCTGGTAACCGTTCTTAAATTTTGACCATTTTTCACTTTGGCTCATATCAGGGAATTCTAGTTTTAATTTTTTTTTTTTTTTTTTTAAATTATTCTGAGATGGAAGGTTCAATTTGAACAAAACAAGTATTAAAAAAAAAAAAAACGTTCCCCAAACAACAAATAAAATCCTGTCCTTTTCAAATGTGGTTTCCATTTCTTTTTCTCTGTTAATGATATTTGACCAAAGTAGCCTTTGTTACACAGGCTGTGGAGAATGGTTTAAAAGGCTTTCTTTGGGAGAAGTCGATAGTTCCATATGTTCATTGGTAGTCTTTTCATCATTGCAATTTTCAACAATATGTGTTAGCAACATTGGTTCTGCATAATCATCTGGTTTTACAACTATCAACTCCACATTCTTATGGCTGGGCACGGATTGACTGACTGAAAAATAAATAAAAATAAATAAATAAAAACGCAATCTGAAACATGGAAAACATTAGTAATTATACTGAATAATAATAATAATTCTATAAAGAGAGAAACAGTCACTTATATTTGAAGCACAAGAGCAATCAACACTAAGATAGACAAGTCACAAGAAGAAAGCAAATGTAGGATGTATGGATAAGCTCCTAAGACAGTTAATTATATGCTCAGTGATTGTCAGAAGGTGGCAGAGAATCAGTATAAGTGACAACATGATTGGATAGTTAAGAGAATTCATTTAGAAATATGCTGTAAATCTGGCTTTCAATGTGAATTAGAAATGATAAGTCAGCCAGAATCAGTGGTAGAAAATGACAGTCCCAATATATTATGGTAGTCCTTGGTCAAGACAGATCAGATCATATTAAAGCACAGAGACCTAACTTTATTGTGAGAGATAAGAAAATTAGTAAGTGTCAAATTATTGCTGTTCCATATGATACAGAAATGGACTTCAAAGAAACTGATCTTAAAAAAATGACCTAATCTCCATTGTTAAATGGGGCAAAGTGTGGCTTGTTAATCTTAATGCATCAAAAATGAAATTGCTCTCTTTTAGTCATCTGAGAGAATCCTTTTTAATTTCCATCAGCATGGCTGATTCTAACCTCCAGGAGAGTGACTTGTTGCACTTTCTCAGACTATCATTCATTCTTGCTTTGAATATTGCTGCCACATTTAGTCTAATGCTCCTGCTATATATTTAGAGATTCTTGATAAAATTTAAGGAAGAATCTGCAATGTTATTGGTTCTGACCTGGCATCTCAGCTTCAATCCCTTTTCTCCAGCTGTAATGTAAAATCCTTGTGCCTTTTCTATAAATACTTTCATGGTAATTGTTCTGATGAACTTTCCTCTATGGTACCTAGACTTTATGAATTTAAGTGCAGTACCAGATAGATGGCAAGGTCTCACCATTTTACATTTGAAATGGCTAGATGTAACCATAAGTGCTATACTAAAAGTTTCTTCTATCACACCTCACTTGTGGAACTCTGAGTTCTTGCTTCCTGTTTAACTCTGATCTTCAAAAATTGAAATGCAATGTCAGTCATTATCTTCTTTCTTTTGTCTTCTAATTCTTCTATTGTCCTCTCTCTTTAATAGTAGTTTTTTTCTCATATTCTTTAACACTCAGGAACCACTTGCATCCTAGTGGCTTTATTGCCATGCTTGGGATGAAATGATTAAAAAAAAAAAGAAAAAAAAAAAAAACAGTTTCTTGTCATCGTGAATCAAGACATGTTTATGATATCAATGGACACAGTAAAGATAGAGGAAACAAATGAAAAAGGAAAATATCAGTACTTCACCTGAAAACTTTGAAAGCTGTGGAAAGTGGGCATAAGGCTTATTTACCCTAAATAAAGATGAAACTGTACCAAAATTGTGGGGACTGGATATTTGAAGAAGGACTGAGATGAGAAGGTGCTTGGGATTTCAGAAACCTTTTTGTCACTCAATACACAGTGATATTCACAAAAATTCATGTTTGCCCTGTCAGCAGGGCCTAAAATAGGCTGACAGCATCTCTTGAAGAGGGGTAAGACTAGCACTCTAAAGGGGGTCACAATCTATGGGGATTTTTGCAGATTCAAGTATAAGCTTGAACAATGTTTACCTTTAAACTTCTTTCTTTCTTTCTTTTTATGTGCCATGTCCTTTCAGGATGTAGGGGATCATGGCTCTCCACCTCCCTCTATCCCTTGCAGCTTTCAACAAGTTCCTTCCCTCTGTTTCCTCCCCCCAGACCACGTTCTGTCATCCACCTGCTCAAGCTCGTCAGGTATGTCATGTGCTGCTTTCTCTTGTCTCTCTTTCCCCCTATTCGACCTGTGAGTATCAGATTCTCCAGGCCCTTCTTCCTCAATATGTGTCCCAGAAACTTCAGCTACCTCTTTCTGATGTTAAGTATAAGCCTTCTCATTGTTTGAAAACCTCTCTAAGACCTCATTGTTGCTCACATGCTTGTAAGTATAATAAAAACAGATTTGGGCATGATAATAATATTAACTGCTAATTATATAGTAATTACATTATACCAATCATTAAAATAGTAAATATATAGAAATTATAGATATCACCCATCTAAATAGATAAATTATACAGGGTGTCCCCCCAAAACTGACATCATTTAAAATGTGAATATCTGAGTAACTACATGTCCCAAGCAAACAAAATTAAATAGACTTAATGTTGAATGATAAAAGATTTATTTATCAAAATTTGAACAAGATATTCAAAGGATTGTAGATTTTTAAAACCAATTTCACAAAGCTTTATGAATATTCAATATGTGCATCACCTGTGACATGTTATATGTCAAGTCAGTAGTCCAGTTCTTGTCAAACACACTGTAGCAAATCTTGTATAATGTTCTCCAGTACCTTGGTGATTCTCTGCTTAAGTTGTTCTAGGCTTGTAGGAAGAGGGGGATATAGACCTTTCCTTTCATATAGCCTCATATAAAAAAAACCTCACAAGGTCACAAGGTGTCAGGTGAATGTGGTGACCATTTCAACACCACATTGTCATTATCATGCCTGATCCATCTTCTTGGTAGATTCTCAGTCAGATAAGTTTGCATTCTGTTTAAATTTGAGCAAGAATAGGCTATGTTATTAGACCATAGAATGATGTCAATTTTTGGGGGACGCCTTGTATACAACAATAACAGTAATAATATGGAAATTATATTTGGCAACCAGAAAAATGATAATATGGAAGTTATAGATGATAACCATGAATTGTAATGAGATTGGCAAATAGGATTTTACCTATTTGAATATGTTGGTTATAGGAGAAGTAAAGAGTCAGAGAGGAGTAAGTTGAATACTGATCATGTGTTGTAGAACAACACTATATATTAATATGGCATTGCCGATAGGATGTTTAAGTTGCTTGGATGAACCAGAATTTATTGAGACTTGGATCCAGTGTTCTGCAACCCAGGCTAGGGCTATGGTTAAAAAATTGAAAGACTGTAAGTTAAGAGAGGGAGAAAATGAAATAAATGGCCTCTTCCTAGATTCGGCAGGCTGTGAAACTAAAATGAAAATTTCTGTTATGGCATATTCCAAATAATTGGAGAATTTGACTTTCATCGAAATTTCAGAAATGATAAGAAATTAACGACCTAAAAAGAAACTTGTCATAGTGAAAAGAATCAAATTTCTGTCGATTAAACAGGAAAAAGATGAATCAATTGTATAATAACTTCACAGGTTAAGAGAAGCTAGCAGATTTTATGAATCTGAGAAATTGGGAACTCAATATTTGTTTATAGAGGACAAATTGATTCAATTACAGTTGATTGAAAATATGGCTGATATATCTCATAAATATAAGGTATCAGAACAATTACAATTGAATAATTTGTCTAAGTGTATGTGTGGAAGTTATACAACAGCTAGAATTGATTAAAAAATGTAATTCTATTGAGGACAATGTTTTAACGTACAGTATAAAAAACAAGAAATGCAGGAAATGCAAATACTGTAAGTATGAGCATGAAACTGACAGAAAAAAAAATGACCCATTTCTGGAAAAATTTGCCATAACTGCCAAAGAAAAAATCATTTACAGTCTGTATGCCAAGTTAAAATACACAGTATAGAAAAATTGGGAAAAGAGAGAATTGATGACATCTTTTCAATACAAAGACATAAGGAAAAGAATTCTCTTAAAAAAAATTGTATTAAATGGCAAGAATTTTCTAATGCAAGTGGATATGGGGAGTGAGAAATTTCTTGGAACAAATGGGTGAACTGAAATTTACAAAAAATAATCTGCAATTGAGAAAATTTGGTGGTTCTTTATAAAATCTTTGGGCTACTTTAACGGAACTTTTGAAACCTGTGACTGATTTGAAATTATTCCTATTACAGTAGTGGAATGTAAAAAAATTCATGGACTACTAGGAATAAATGTTCTAAAAGGTGGATACTGCAAAATTAATCAATACTGTAAAATCAGAAAAATTAAAAACAGAAGTGTTAAAGAGATATAAAGTGAGAATACAATCAAATGAAAATAGTACCCCCTCCTATTTTTGAGTACCATAAATTACCTATTCTCCTATCTTTGGTGGATGCAAAGTTAAAGAAAATGGTAGAGGAGAGGATTTTAAGGCCTTTTCCTCCAACTGGCACTAAATGGGCCTCCTCCATTGTAGTTTTTCAAAAATCAGGAGACTTAAGAATATGTAGTGGTTTTAAAATAGGTGTAAATCATATATGATCGAATTTGTTTCCTATTCTCAATATCAAAACTGCTATCCACAAATTATCTGGCATGAAATTTTAAACAAAAATTGATTTAAAATCTGCCTTTAATCAAATACAGATTAGCAATAAATTCAAGGAAATTACCACAATAAACACCCCCATAGGATTATTAAGACGGATGAGAATACCTTTTGGAGTGAAAACAGTAAATGCCATTTCTCACAGAGCAATGGAAAATGTGTTAATGGATGAGATTAGTAACATAATTATTTATCAAGATGATATTTGCCTCAGTGCCACCACTAAAGATGAATTAAGATAAAAAAAAACAAAAAAAAAACAGAACGTGTTAAACAAATTAAAAAAGGCTGGGATGATAATAAACACAGATAAATGTGAATTTGTTGTCAATACAATATCTTATTTAGGGTACCAGATTTTATAAAATGGTATTGCATCAAATCCAAAGTTAATTAAGAAAATTTCAGAGGTACTGATATCTACTAATAAAAAAAAAATATATTCCTTGTTAGGATTGGTTAATTTTTATAATAGATACCTACCAAATTACAGTGACTTTATAGAGCCATTTACTGAACTGCATAAAAAGAATAGTGAGTTCAAATGGACTCAAAAGCAAAGATTAGCATTTAATGATTTAAAAAAGATACTTGCAGGAGGAGAGGAGGAAAGAGATTATAGATGAAGCTCAAGAACAACGAAAGGTA